CTTTCCCTATGCACTCCGGAGGTGAGCAGCTGGGCAGAGTTTAGGGAAGTCAACGCAATAAAAACATAGAGGCAAAGCAACATATTGAAATCTTCTATCTGCTTGTTTGAAAACATCATTAAAGGGATGACAAATTTAAAAGAACTGAGGCTTATCTGATTTATGGAAAAGAAAATGGATGGTTGGATCGAAAATGGCATTGGAATTCTAACTGCGCAATTCCATAGAGACTGTTGTTTTCAAACTGTCGGCTAAAGAACAAAATGGCTATTTTGACTCCAATTGAAAAGAAAGACTTTCAGGAAGATGGAGATGTATTCCAACTGTCAGAAGCCTTTTGGGAAGGTATAAAGCAAAAAATGGTAACTGAGATTACAGTGGCCATTCTTCATGCCCTGGGAAACACTTTGATTGGCTTTGAGAGACTGGAAACATCTGACTGCCAAACGCAGCTGTCGTCACCTATGACACGAGCGACACAGACTGTTAGAAGATAAGAGCATCACAACGAAAGAAACACTCAGTGGTTATTTTGACTACTCAGAGACTTTAGTCTTTGCTGTTGCTAGACTGAATAATGTGTTTTCAGAGTTTGAAATAATTGCTGAGAGCTGTTTGATTCTCCACACAAGCAATCTTAGAGAGGAGGGAGAAGCCTACAAAGAAACCTACAAAGACCTACAAAGTGATAATTCTTAAGAGAAATCAACAGAGGAAGCTTAAAAAAAAACAAATTGTATAAGTAAAAAATATATGAAGAAGGACTGTCTAATCTGAAACAATATACCTGGTCTTGCAATATTTTAACTGGAGATAAAAAGATATATTCATGTTTAAGGGCTGTTTAATCTGAAACAATATACTTGGATTATTTGCTAAATTTTAACTGACTGGAGACAAAAAGATATAGGGTAGTTTGAACTATAGAGTTGGTACCGCAGGGAAATGAACAAACAAGGACTGTTTATATAGAGAATGTGTAATGATTTAAATGATATAAGAGAATAGACAGGAGGACACAGTGTAAGGTGAAGGATTTTCGGCTTTATGACTTTAAGAATTGATACTCAATATACATTGGAAAAGTTTGTAAGTAAATTGGATTTCAAAAGTTAACATTATTGATAATATGATTGAACATTTTAAAGAGAACAAAGTGTTAACATATAAAAAATAATAATGTGCCCAAATTAGTATCTTTAAACCGTTAAGAAATATTTGTTTCTTATTTTACTTTTTAGGTTTATAGACATGAAGTTGATTAGGAATAGTGTATTGTAGGTAAAATGAAATATAGCAGATAGGATATAGAAAAATTAGTTGTTTTATTAAGAATAGATTATTGATTTATGTTGTTTGAATATTAGTTAAGACAAGGAAAAATGGTAACATGTATGCAAATATGATGTTGGAACGAGACGTTTGGCTAGATATTTTAAACTGTATTGCTCTTTCATAAAACTTAAAAAAAAACACGATAAACCTTGCCCTGTTGGGCAAGCAGAAAAGAAAAGATTTAAATGTTGCTAACATTAGTTTTTCTCAATGGTAACTGCTTAAACTCTTCAGCTATTGTAACCTTCTGATTGGTCTTTCTCTTGCCTTAATTCTTGTACTTCTGTAGTGATGGGTAATGACTGACATACAGTTATCACGGCTCACTCGACTCATTATGGATGTGGTTACTCCATTGCAGGCGTCAGCTTGTTTCTAGCTCTCTTACAGTATAAAGTTGCCTAAATTATCAATCTTGTAACAATGGAGTTAAGACTGTGACTTCTAATGTTCTATGCCTTTGTTTCTCTCAGCTGTCCTTGAGAAGCCACTAGATAAGAAGGCTGGAAGAAATTATAGTCCTCCTGGCGCCAAGAAAATTATCTACTTTATTGATGACATGAATATGCCTGAAGTAGACAGTTATGGGACAGTTCAGCCTCACACATTGATCCGTCAGCATCTGGACTATGGGCACTGGTAAGCCTCTCATTTCAGGAGCCTATGAGAAACCTTTGTGCACTTAATCTACCACAATAGGATCACACACCATCCAGTTCTTCTTGTCCCACTAGTTATACAATAGAATGTGAGACTCTTAATCCAGTGGTATTTCTGCATCTCTCTTGCTAAAATTTCTTTCTTTGTTAGATTTCCTCTTGACTGCAAGTCTGCTTACACCCAGCCCTGTTAAAGGGAACCTGAACTTCAATGCTGTAGAGTTGCTTACAGGAGTCCCTACAGCATGGCACCAGAAGCAGACCTGAAGCAGACCTGCTGCTAGTCTTTTTAAAAAGTCATTTGCTTTATCCTTCAGATGTTGACCCTCCCCTCCCCCCAACAGCCTAATGATAATATTGGTCACCAATGGCTTGGTGTTAATTTAACACAGATCTCATATGGGTGGGCACTGTGTGCTGTTTTACTTTATAAAGACCTGCATGAGCATGAAAACTTTCAAGCACTATGAAAAACGGGACAGAAAATGGTCTGCTTATTACCAATTTTCAAGATTAGAAAAACAAACATGAGATATGACCACTTTATCACTAGCCTAGTTTAACTTTTCACACCAGTTGCCACTGATTTGTACCTCATTTCTCAGAAGGAAAGCAGTGGGGAGCAGAACAAGGTCTTTGCTGGGCCTACCCTCTGTTGTCACCATGGAGCAGTGTGCAGTTATTAGCATCTTAAGTACATCTGTACAACTTATGATAAGCATGAATGTCAGTGGACCCATGGTGACTTGAGCAGTGCTGCACCAAGATCCCAAAGCATTAGGTATAAATACTTGTAATGGAAATTTGAGGCTGTGCCTTAAAGCAAGTCCATGGTGTGCAAGACTTTGTGCAAACATATGTGAATTCTAAATTTATCCCCCAAATCACACAGCCTGTGTTAGAATGTTAATTGAAAACAGCTGGGATGCAGCAGGTGCCCAAGACCTATCAGCCATACTGCTTGAGACTTGGCAATGTCCAGCAGTCACACTGCTGTTTGTTTGTCACTAATAGGCTGTGATTAGGATGATGCATTCTTTTTTATTCTCCTTCTGGTAAAGGTATGACAGAAACAAGCTGTCCCTGAAGGAAATCATGAATGTGCAGTATGTGTCGTGCATGAATCCCACGGCTGGTAGCTTCACTATCAACCCACGCTTGCAGGTATTTCTTGTTCACCTGGCTAGGAGAAGCATTTTTCATCTAGTCCTTGGAAGCATTAATAATGTGAGGCAAACTGATGTGGACTGTGTCTACATGAAGCTAACTGTACAACTTTGAAAACTTTGGTACAGAATCAACCCAGGATTTGCTACAAAAAAAGGAAACTGAAGACAGGGTATGAACAGAAAGGGGCAGTGTGGGAATAATCTAAAGCAGACAACTGTGTCATTTGTTATTTTTTTAGGTTAGAGGAAAAGAGGCACCAGTGGAAGAGATGTCACCCAAGCTTGTGTTTGTTTGCTTTCTTGCAGCGCCACTTCAGTGTGTTTGCCCTTTCATTTCCTGGGTCAGATGCTCTATCCACCATTTACAGCACAATCCTAACACAGCACCTGAAGCAGGGGAACTTCCCTGGGGCTTTACAGAAATCATCACAGCAGTTAATAAATCTGGCACTTGCCCTTCACTTGAAAGTGGCTGCAACTTTCCTGCCAACAGCTATCAAATTTCATTACAATTTCAACCTAAGGGACTTGTCCAATGTCTTCCAAGTAAGTAGTTTTTTCCATTTAGGTGCTTATTGTTTCTTCCGGTCGGTGGGTGTTTCCCCTAACTACATCAAGCTTTGAAATTAAAGAGAATGATTTACAATATTATTTACTTGAAGTGTCATACCATGGCATGGCATGAAAAAAAGGCAGAATCCACTGGAAAATAGCTGAGAGTCTCTAGTTGGCATGTCATTGAGGAGCATGTTTAGAAATAATAAAAAAATAAATGGGTTTGTTTCACAAGAAGCCCTGAGTTCTGATTGTCTTTCTGCCAAGTTACATTAAGTGCTTCTTGTTTTTATGTTGGCAGGATGATAATGCTAAAATTGGTTTGCGGCTATAACTTCATTTTGTGATTTGTTCAGTGTTTGATACCAGAAACTCCTTTTAACCTCTAAAGTGGATGTGAATGGAGACATGTTTGAAGTAGTGGTCTGTAATGACATCCCCTTTAATCCAGCTCAGAAATCAAGTGGGTCATTGTTGAATGGCTTTGAATATCAAGGCTGCTTGAAGATTGCTTTTATAGCTGCTGTTTTCTAGTTGACTGAGATGTTCACAGTTTAAGGATGTCTTACACAAAATGCATACAAATTCAAGCCCCTGATAGTTAACCTGTAGTACTCGTATCTCAGTAATTTCATTTGCCATGCCAGCATGAGTAACCTCAATTTACATTGTGCTCTGTCCCAGGTATTCACTCATTTCTTGTCTTCACAAGATCTGTAAATAATTAGTGATAAGCCCAAACTCATTTCCTGTATCAAAAGAAATTTCCAGTTTTATTTTTTAAAGTTGTATGCAGATTGTTTAGTACAAAGCACCTTTCATTTATTGCTGTAAGTAATAGAAGTCTTGATGTTGGTTTGTGTCTGTGGAGTTTGTTGCATTAGTTTCTTTTTCCACCTGTGACTTATTGTTCAGCCCTGATCTGGATGGCCCAGGCTACCATGATCTCATCAGATCTCAGAAGCTAATCAGGGTTGGCCCTGGTTAGTATTTGGATGAGAGAGCACCCAGGCAGTCCAGGATCACTACACAGAAGCAGGCAATGGCAAACCCGCTCTCTTAATCTCTTGCCTTGAAAACCCAACAGGGTTGCCATTAGTCGGCTGCAACATGATGGCCGTTTCCACCACCACAACTTACTGTAGTTGTTTTGATTTCTGTTGTAAGCTGCCTTAGAAGTCATTGTTACAAGAAGAGGAAGAAGTCTCAAAAGAATCGGATGAAGAATTGCAGAGACAAGGTGCAACAGGATCAAGAACAGGGGCTGGAAAGAAAAATCCTAAGGCAATACCACTTCAAGATACCACGAGACTGCAAGACAAGAAAAAAAAAACTGGATCCCAAAAAAAAGAGGGAAAGGTGGATAGAAAAAAACTAAAAATAATCTCCATAAATGTCAACGGTTTGAATGCCCTACAAAAAAGAAGACAAATATTTCAACAAATTTAAAAGATGCAAACAGATGTAATTTGCCTACAGGAGACTCATTTCAAACATACAGACCAGAAACTTTTAGTAGTTAAAAAATTTGGGAAAACCTTTGCGTCAGTGGATAAACAAGAGAAAAAGAGGGGGGTAGTCACCTATGTAAAAGACCATCTGCACCCAGAATTAATTTAGAACTCAGAAGATGGAAGAGTGCTAATAGTGAAAATACAGATACAAGCCAAAAAAACATTGATAGTTAACATATATGCACCAAATCAGGAACAGGAGAAATTTTACAAATCCTTGCAGGAGATTCTTTCAAATCAAGCTTATGAAGAGATTTGTATAATTGGAGATTATAATGCTGTATTCGATAAAGCTTTAGATAGGAAAAAAACCCAGGAAAACAGAAGCCAGGAAATAAAATGCCAATTTTTTAAAAAAAACTGCTTGAAGAATTTAGTTTGGTGGATGCATGGAGAATTAGAAATATAAACAAATCAGACTTTACCTTTTTCTCAGCAAGACATAAGTCATGGTCAAGATTCGATATGGCCTGGATCTCAACAACCAAGTTAAATAATATTTTAGACATATTCTTCCATCAACATTTGCAGATCATAGTCCCTTATTTTTGACATTACAAGATACTCCTAAAAAGACTAGATGGTCTATGAACCTATGGCTTTTAAAAAATCCAGAATTTGAAGCTGACTCAAAAAAAGAATTTCAAGAATTTTTAAAACTGAATATGCAGCCTGACATTTCTATGGATATAGTGTGGGATGCCTTTAAGGCCTATGCGAGAGGATGGCTCATCAGACAAGATGTTTGGGTGAGGTGACAAAGAAAACAAAAGTTTACACAGATTGAAGAACAAATTTAAAAAGAAGAAAGGATGAAGTTAGGATCCTCGTTGGACCAAGCAAGGATTAAGATTAAAAATCTTCAACACCAATTTAACTGTCTCCTGACACAAGAAATTGCAAAAAAAAATTATGTATGTAAAGCAAAATTATTTTGAAAATGCAAATAAACCTACAAGATGGCTGGCATATAAATTAAGAAAATAATAAAAAAGAAGCATATAAAGATATTGAAGAATGAAACAGGAGAAGAAGAAAAATACCTCCAAGGAATTTAAGATTATTGAATTTTTAAATAAAAGTTTATATCAAAAGGGAGACACCAATCAAGATCAAATTAAAGATTTCTTTAAAAATGATAAAAAAAGAATTTACAGAAGATCAAAGGAAAATCCTAAATGAATCAATTTCTTTTGCTGAAGTAGTCGAAGCAATTAGAAATCAGAAGAAAAAGAAGACTCCAGGCCCAGATGGACTACCAACAGAGTTTTACCAGATATTTGAAGACCAAATTGCACTACTACTAAAATATACTTGTCATGGCTCAGGTGGGGTGTCACCTGACGCTACCATCACTCTGGAATTAGGATCCCTTGAGAAGGCCCAGAGCACCCTCCCAAGACCTTCAGACCTCCCTTTTGGCTGAATAATAGGCATGAGGACCAGGCAGAGTACAACAAAGAAAAGGTTTATTTTATAGGAGGTCAAACAACAAGGTGCAGAATAATAACAGTAAGTGGGTGAAAAGGAAAGAAATCAAATGCCCTAACACGTCTAAATATATACTGTTCCTAGTTCACTATCTGCAGTGGCCTTAGTCTACTCACCCTTCCTTCAGGATGAGGGTCTCTTCCCTGCAGCAGCCTTCCTTCTGGCTCTGCCCTCTGGGAAGAAGAACAGCTTCTGCTCTGGCACCAGTTCTTTTGTTCCCCAGTCCTCTTCTTCCCTATTGGTCAAAATCAGTACCACAACTTCCCAAGGCCTTCTGGGATTTGTAGGTCCAGCCTCCCCTACTGCTAGCCAGGCTCCCTGGGCCTAGTAGGCCTCTGGTGGCACAGCCGAGATCATGACAATACTATACATAATATTAATGAACAGAAGAAAATTCCAGAGTCTTGGAATCATGCATTGATTACTTTAATGTATAAATTGGGTACAGATGAGAAATAAATAAAAAATTACAGACCAATTTCACTCTTAAATGTTGATTGTAAGGTATTTGCATCTATTTTAGTCCTATTTTAGTCCTACTTCAAATAATATATCAAGATCAAACAGGATTTTTACCCAAAAGACAAATGAGAAATAATGTGAGAACTTTTTAAGATGTATTAGAATACTTCGAAGCACACCCTGAAAAACAACTGGCATTGGTATTTCTTTATGCAGAGAAGGCTTTTGATAATCTTACTTGGTCTTTTATGTTAGAACAGCTATCAACCTGGCATTGCGGAGAAAATTTTTTCACAATGGTGAAAGCAATTTACACTAAACAATATGCTAAGGTCGTGATAAATGGAGACCTTTCACAAAATATAGAAATACAGAAAGGAACTAGAAAAGGTTCACCAAAAACTGCACAAAAGAACAGATACAGCAATTACAAGATAGTTCTGGCATTGAAGTTCAGAAGAAAATAAAATACTTGGAGATAACCTTAACAAATAGGTGCAGCTCATTGCTAAAAGATAATTATATGAGACTTTTGACTGTAATTAAAAAGGATTTGGAAAACTGGAAATATTTACAACTATCTCTTATGGGAAGAATAGCCATTGTAAAAATGAATGTATTACCTAGATTTCTCTTCTTATTTCAGACAATTCCAATTGTAAAAAATCAACAATATGTTAAGGAAATAGAAAAATTGATACGCCAATTTATTTGGCAAGGTAAAAGACATAGAATTAACATGAAAATACTACAGGATGCAAAAGAAAGAGGAGGCTTTGCAGTTCCAGATTGGCATTTTATTATAAAGCAGCAGCCCTGATATGGATAAAAGAATGGATCACCTTAGAAAATCCAAGACTGTTAAAGCTAGAAGGTCATGATTAGGTTGGCACGCCTTCATATGGTATGAGAAAAGTAATATCCATAAGTACTTCAAACAACATATACTGAGAGCATCTTTACTGAAGATATGGCAAGAGGTTAAAAACATGTTTTATACAAAAATACCTAAATGGGTTTCACCATTAGAGGCCTTTATAAATCCCACTTTATTTACCAAAGAACAACTGTGGAGATATGAAGATATACTAGATAAGGAAAATAACTTAATGTCACACGATACTCTACAAAGACAGGGAATTTATTTAAACTGGTGGGAAAGGGCACGACTTTAGATATGTAAAGGATAAACCAACTGATTTTTATGATAAACCCATATAATTAGATAAGATCTTGTTATCTATAGATGGAAATTTTATAAAGTTATTTTATACTTTGTTATTAGATACTAAAATGCAAGATGAAATAATAAAAATTTCTATGATTAAATGGGCACAAAATATAAGACACAATATACAATTTGACCAATTGACTAAGGTATGGAAAACAAATATAAAATTTAAAAAATCTATACCATTTAAAGAAAATATATATAAAATGTTCCATAGATGGCACATGATGCCAGAAAATTTAGCAAAATGGTATCCTGGTATGTCAAATGTATGCTGGAAATGTAAGCAGTAT